CCAACTTGTCCAGGAATATCAGGCGAAAGCCGATCAGCGAACCTTGTTACTTCTGTGAACTGCGCTAACCTTTACAGTCATGTGGTTCGACCGAAATCTACATTTGAAAACAATTTGGTTCTGTTTTTTTTTTGTTTTCTTTGGAAACTCGTTTGGACGCCCATCAGCGAAGAGTGAAAAATATGTCAATAGATGAGGAAACCCTTCGTACAAAACACGTTGAATCCCCCCGATGGTCTTCAAACATTTAGGACTGACAACACTGACAGGGCTTTTATTATGAATGAAGTAAAAACACGTATTTAATAGCGTCGGTTTGCAGGTGCCCTTTAAAGATGTCAAAAACAATTCGAGGAAACAAATACTTAAAGAGCGTTTTTTACTGTACATAGCCCATTGATCGATGTTAGAAGCACGTATGCCCGAATTCATTGTTCTAGAGCGACTGAAAATTTGCAAAGATACATTTATTTTAAACAAGCAGATACATTAATGGAAACTTCTGCCAAGCACTGTACATCTTAAGTTTGGGGCAAACTATGTTAAACCACGCTGAATACTATTCGTAAGTTAGATATTATATGGGTAACAAGGTATCGTCGGTCCATGTGTTCTGAGACATAATACAGCTATTGAGACAAAAATATGATATTTTCTCCAAGTAACTGGGGCAGTTAGAATTCACAGTAGTATTCTTCAACAGCGTGACATGACAATTCAAAACACGCTGTCTGCCAATAGTATTTAACAGTTAAAATGTGTTGTCTAAATTGACGCATCTTGAGCTCCTATATTATTAAAGTTGGCTTATGTATCTACATCCATCTGTCAACATAAACACACATGACTCTCGGCTGAAATCATTAAGACAAGTTTGAAAGACAATATGCAGATTTATTTCTTGAAATGTACTACAGGCTCAATGAAAATGTGTGTCCTGCGCTTTAATGGGGGAGATAAGGAATAATACTACGCAGATCAATAGGAGGCACAGTTCCAAGCAGTTTTAACAACGACACATTGCACTGAAGTGCTTCGTGATTTCAGTTTCATGTAATTTACCGTATATTTCCTGCATGTTAAACTGTGAAATCTTAAAAGCTCAGTTCAGTCATTTGCTATGTCTGGGAGCAGATGGGCCGGCCAGGTAGGAAACTGCACTCACGGATCTACCCACTGAACAAGACGAATCCCAGATAACTGCAAGCGGCACGGTGTGTTTTGCAGCGAAATTGTTTTTTTCTGCGTATTTTCAAATTTATTAACACCAGTTAGTATTACTTTCTGCATGGGGGGTTTTCAGTTCACACGGGTGACGACGTTAGCCAATACAATGATTGTACAGCGAGGTACGGTTTTTCCCATTTTAGCGAAGCCACACAATTTAGAGTAACTGGAGTCTTCAGAAGTATCGTTATAGCCGGACAAGAAGTAGATATTTAATTTCTCCGCTTGTTATTGATGGAATTGATTAAGGTGGAGAATAGTTCAGTAAAAATTGGGTAAAGTATCTCAGACACATCGAGACTTGCATATTGAAGTGCTGGAAGCGTCTTGATCCTTCACATTATTAGGCACATTCTACACAATAGCCCTCTCTTTACAACGTCATTTGTAATATTTGAGTTTATGTTCAACATTATAATTGTTTCTTGTAATGTTTTATGTAACTCTGGTGTGGACTGACCTTTGCCAGAGCAATAAAAATGATTAATTACGAGATGCCAATCATAGTCTGTGAAGACCGGCCTCGGAGACACAACCTGCTCTGCTTAACAGAAGTCGTCTTAACAAGACACGTAATACACATTAACAATCCTGCTCAGAAAAAAAAAGAAGTCTCATTTTATCTGTGTATAAGTCCGGGGAATGTGTGAGTTACACACAACTGAATCTTTAGTATTTGGTGAGATTTAACAGAGTATCTTTGACATGTTTTTTTATCCCTGTGTTTAAAATATACAGATCCTTACGTGTCACGAAAAGAGAAATGCTGTGTAGGTCTACATCTCAGCAGTGTGCACATAACTGTTTACATATGGCGGAAAATGGGTGTGATGGTATTTAGCCACACCCAATCTGACTAAATCATAGGCAAGGAAAAAAATGAGGAAAGAAAATATGTGTATGGACTCGACAGGCACGTATAAGGCTTTTCTAGCCCTGCAAGGGGTGAATTGTCAGTCGGGAGAAATCTATAGCGAAACTGCGGTCCGTACAATTATGTGGTCATTAAAAAATTAAATACGCGCAGTGTAGTTACAGAGTAACTGGTCACAAATGAGAAAAACGCTGAAAACTGATATTCAACCAAGGTGATTTCTAGAACAAACATAGACTTAGGGGGACATTGGATAGAGATGGTTAGCTAGCAGGGATACAGGGAGCGAATTTTGTGCTGTCTGATGTGAAACCGTTTATGGATAGGAGATAATCTAATGTAATGGTTGATGACACAACAAACAAAATGACAAAAATGACGAAAAGTCTCCGAAAAGAACGGTGTAGGTCAAACAGCACAAAGAGAAAGCTCCTGGCAATCGGTATTCTTTAGTGTGGTCACACTGACAGATATAGTTGCATGGACAGAACCAGATAAAAGCCCCAGCTAGTAGCTGAAACGCTTTAGACACACTTTTATGGTATAAGGCGCAAAGGGGCACATTTTTCCGTTGCGAGTTGATTTAAACAAAAGAACAGGCAGCTCAGGTTGCACCAAGGGGTCTTGGCTCTGTCACTGAGAAAGCACACGCAAAATTCACCTATTTCTATAGGCACCTTACGTACGTCTGATCGCCTGCCTACCTAACGTCTATCAATAACAAATATGTTACAAATAGTTGCTCAAAAGTCATATTTAAAGACAGTGCAATGCGCATTCGCTTCCGTGCACAATCTGACACAAATTACTGTCAAACTAAAAATAAGTGGGGATCCTTCATCAAGCATTCGCCCCAATACACAATGCGTGTGTATTCGCAGATGCTCAAGATACATTCTGTACACAGAGATAGGAAAATACAAAGAAGTGTTTTCTGATGTTCGGCGTGGAGGGCAGAGGGAAAAGTAAAACAGCCCACTTATTATAGACAGACAGACGGATAGATGGAAAGACACACACGGAGATAAAAGGGTAGACAAACCAACCTATACACACACACAGACCGCCCGATAGATGGATATAACGTTACGCTCAATGTGTATGAATTGCGTGGATTAATCTCAAAGTATTCAGTGCATCCCGAGTGCTGATTTCGTCATCGAGGTGATCACAGCCCGAATTCCCTTGATAAAAAAAAAGGCGTTGTGTTCTTTTGTTAGGATTTAGTCACGGTTGTTGACTCGAAGCTGGTCCTATATTGTGTGTCTGATCTGGTTGTCTGGTAAGAAGCAGATGGTGTTAGAGACGATGACGTCGCTAAAAGGTGGGTGAAGCAACTCAAGACCTGTGATTTGTTCACCTGTCACATTTTCTTCATCTAGACGTACAAAATCAGTTCGTATGCGAGCTGCCACTGAATAGCAGGGTGACACCAACCATCTATATATATGAGATATCTGCCGATCGTTTGTTGTCATGAGAGACGAATTAAGAGTAATTAACGTTAACACGTTATATGGTTCGATGATCCTTTTTTAAATTTGATTGGTTTTTATTTTATACAGGCTACACATTTAACACTCTGGTTAATGTAAATAAATAAAACCCGAGTTTTCTTGTCCTTTTGATAAACACATAGGGCTGCCACTACAATATTACACACCGCGGAATATACAGAATACAAGAGCTAAAATAACCAACAACAGGCGAAGGACGCAGGCTGTGTATTTAAGATAAAACTATACACAATTGCAGGTGAAACAACATCTTTCTCCCTACCTACATTCATTAATGAATGAGTTTGTTCAGGTAGAAACGTACCTGGTCCAATTAATGTTAATGTAGCTTCAATTTGTAGTAATTGTATGCCCCGGCCTACAATGCTCTGAAGGGGTGAAAAATAAGAAGGTCCATTCGCCTCCATCACATTTCCTTAAAATACAGTATTAAAATGCCCTTTTCTTTGTTTTCTGTGGCAGTACCTTGGCAAACAGTCTTGTGGGAATGCTTCAGTCTTTTTCATTATCTGTGTGGACAAACTGTAGCTATTAGCATTAGTCAATTGATTGTACAGCGTCACACGCAAACAACACACCAGTTAATTTAGCATCCACGGGAGCCTAGCCTTTTACAATAAATGCACATCTGATCGAAAAGTATTAAACTTGTGCGCAGGTGCTGATATCTTGTAAATAAAACGTCATACGCAATATTGTCCCATTTGTTTTAAATACCGCACACGCACATCTCTTAAATGAGCGTTGTGTGGCACACGAACAATAGCGAATACACTGAACTGTTATACTGTAGCTGGAACTATGTATGTTTTTAAGAAAATACTTATTTTTGTGGGTATATTATATAACAGGCTTAAACTAAGTAATGAAAAAAATAGCATGATTGCATCGTGCAGCTATTATCGGTGAAATGACAGGTAAGCTATTAATTCAAATTAATAGTTTCCCTGAATTAATCTCAATTAAAAAAATGCAAGGGGTGTGTCTAGACAGGGTCATTGCCATCACTAGTTATTATGTTGGCTTTTTATTTCAGCTGTAGCACTTAAACTGTTTTTAATAATACATGTTGCCGTATTCAGGTGCTCAGTCTTAATCTTTGAATGCAGTTAGTCCTTCCTGACCGAAAGAAGACGGGGGGCTTATTAGTTTTTCCCCCTCCTCGTGAAAAAAAAATCTCGGATTTTACAAATGCCATTACCAGAAGAAGAAAAAAATCTTCGAATTTGCTCCAAAAAACGGCTAGCGCAAGACGTACAAAGGGAACAACCCACATGAAGTTATGTACCTCCTCCCCTCCCCCCCCGTCCCCAACAAACTCCCCTAAAAACAATTGATTGGTCGTGTTATCCGAGACGCTGCCTCCTTACGCCAGCGTAGGGACATTTCCCCCACGCAGAGAAGAATTCAATAACTGCATAACTATGCTGATGCTGTTTTGATCGTTCAATTTTCAATAGACGCTGGACCCGGCGAGGGCAAAGAGAGTGGCTGGACAGTATTACAGTGTTCTCCTGGATGGTATTTCTGCATGTAGACCTGTGCGTAAAAAGCGAGCGCTGGGTCGCATTTCTAAGGTCGGGACCAATGAAGACTTGAGTGTGAGAAATTGGGAAGCCACACCTGTGACGTGCCTACCCGTCCTTTCGTGCAATTGCGCTCTGCTTCTTCTGGGCCACCCAAAACAGACGACTAAACTTGCCATTCGGTTTACCTTCTTGTGCGCGAACGACAAAATAACCGTGCACTTTCCGCCGTTCCGGGGTCCTGAAGAAGACGGGGGGAAGAAAGTGGAGGAACGTCGGGGAGGAACACAGAATTAAAGACCAAAAACCCGAATGGGGGCAGAATGGTTTCACGGAAAGTAGACTTTGACTTTAAATCTGCGGCGTTTCAGCACGTTGCTATAATAAGAATTTGGTGACGTTTGGGAGCCAATAGCAGAGCCGAGGGGGGCGTGACGTAGGGTCCCTGTAGAAAAGGCGCGGAGTGTAGCGCACATCGGGAGACCACAGTTGAGGAATAAGGCTTGGAGACCGCAGCTAATCTTGAAGAGGATTATACAAACTGAATGTATAGACAACTCCTCCTCCTCAATTACTTACACACAGCTCTGCTGGCAGGAGAAAAAACTTCTTAAGAAAACAACAGCTCCTTTAAGAGGTCCGCAGTCTGAGAACCAAGATCTGATACTGCTTTTATGTTTTTTTTAAAAAAAAAAATAAGCCTCGATTTAAAAAACACACAAATTTACAGCAAAGTGCGTTGAGCTTTGCATCAGATCAATTTGTGTTTTTTTTTCCTTGCTGCGTTAACGAATTTGCAGCAAAACTAGTGTCTAAGTCAAGAAGATGCGCTCTTCATCTGTACGTCTTTAAGGCTTTGCTTTATTTATTTATTTTTCCTGTTGTTTCGGGGACATTTCTAGTAACGCCAGAAACCTTTCGTTGCAGTGCTGTCGTGATATTTTTTTTTCAGTTGTGAATGGTTAGATTTTTGTTTTCGTTGAGTGGCCTTTCTCTTGATGTTTATTTCTACCTTATTCGATTCAAAAGTGTGTCCGTAAAACACGTTTTTGATAAGACAGCGAATACTTCTGGAGAGATTCGCGAAATCGGTGCCCTGTTCTGCATCTGTTGTAATTTTTCAGCGCTGACATCTTTTTATTGCCCTCTTCAGTACTCGTTGATTGTAAATTTGCTGCTCCTTTTCCTTTTTTTTTCCCGAGCAAGAGAAGGAAACAACTTGTGTTGTGTGCAGCGAAATTTAAACAGTTGCTGAGACAGAACAAAGGCGTATGATAAGCACGGGGGGATTGTGGTGTTAACGAATGCATTGCATTCGTCGTTGCTAAAATTATTTTTAAGCAAACGATGCAAATGGTAAAATACATGTATATATTTCCCCATTTTTATTTCTATTTGCTTGATGTTTTCTGACCTGGGAGTTTGCAATGAAAAGGCAGGACAGAATGAGGTTTGCCGGGGCTAGGTTTGCGTCTTGCGGAAATTTGGGGGTTGCAGATCTGAAGAAAACACGTGTAATTTTCGTCCTTCAGCAGCAAAGATGCTTTTCCACGGCCTCCCCGGAGGCGAGATGCACGGAGTCATTGACGAAATGGACCGAAGAGGAAAAGGCGATTCAGCAGCTATCAGCTCAGCAATAGATATGGGAGAAACCGAAACGGTAGGCGTGTGAGTGTGTGGAGCTGTGGGTTAAGGCCGAGGCGACGCTCATTTTAAAAGCACGGAGTTCAGTGAAATTTAGTTTAATTTAATTTAAAAACATACAACATTTAGCAGGCTACAGGGGGGCAGCAAATTATCTGTACCAGTAAGGAACACAGGCTTAATAACGAAGAGGTTTTCTTAGCTGAAAGATAGTTACCCTTATAACACTAGCAGTTGTTGTGAGATAAACTGATTTAGCACTTGGAAAACGCTGCATTCTTCGATTTCGTTTTATTCTTTGATGTGCGTGTGAAAACCTTGCAAATAGGTATCGTTTCAGCAAAAACGATGAGAGAGATGTGTCAGATCACACAGAGAGATAATCAATGTGTATCTTCTTTATGCCTCTTTAAAAGGGAATTACATTTTAATTAGATTTTTGTTTCTTCACGCGGTTACAGGTTTTTCAGATTCGCTCTTAGTCTAATGCGAATTGAACTGATGTGGTCAATTACACTTTTAATTCAAAGCTGAGCCTCACAATATTTAGAAACAAGCGAAGATCCGAGTCTTTGCCCAATTTAGAAGGCAATCTCTTTATATAATCTTAACGAGATTGCTACTAATGGTTATTACAGTAAATTTATGTTCGATATTTTTGATACATATATACAATCATATGAAAGGTCCTATTAGAATTAAGGAATTAGACGCATTTTTAATATTTCAGTAACATATCTATAGAAAAAAAAGGTTAATTATAATTTTGGATTGTTGAAAATTGCAATAACCCGTTTTAATGTTTAAATCCTGTTTTGTTATTTTATCACAGTGCACACTAGGTAAATAGTTGTTCTGCTTCCTGCTTATCAATTGTATGTGAAATGTCCTAAAATTAAGGAAATTATATATTTATTCTAAACATATGCTATAACTGGTCTTTTATAAAATATATTATATTCCCGATCATGGAAATTGCGTGTTATTAGGTGTAGTTTCGTATTTTTGAAATCATACCTATACCTCTTGTTGCTTGTGTTTAGATTAATTTCTGTAATTGGCTGTTTATGATTTTTGACTAAGCACTGTGGCAAAAAAAAAGTCTATTTTATGTTTATAGTTTAGAATGAGGCCACATTGCATTATGTAATACATGGTTTTGTTAACATTAAATTTTTACTACTTACAACTACCTTTCCCAACTCCACCGTGTGAACATTACCCTGATACAAAAAGACGTTTTTTTTCATTTTTTAAAACTTGTTTCATTAACTTTGATTTCAGTGTTATGTTACGCGCCTGCTTCATTTACACTAAGCGTTTTGTTTGAGAAACTTACTTTCCGAAAAAATAAATAAATCATTTTCTAGTTGTAGGCATGTTTATGGAGAGATGTCTACCTCTCAAATTATCCTCTGTTTGCGACGCTTTGCTCTACAGACTTTGCAAGAGTTCTGCTAAATATGTTAACGGTATAAATTACAGTACAGTGAACTACGTTTTATAGATTTTCATCGTATGAGTCATAAACCGCTCAAAAATGACACAATTTCAGGGCTACAAGTTTTAAACAGTTCGAATTACAGTCATATTATTTTAAGTCACAGACCCTTTTTTCTGTAGCACCACGAATTCGGGAGGATTTTCCTTCTGAGCAACTTACAAGACGTGAGCGATAGCCTTATTTAACGGCCATCCAGCACGACATCGTTTCAAGCAACAGATTGCAGCAGTTTACAATGCGCTAACGAGAGTCTAAAGGTGGCGTGTGTTAAATTTTACGGTTTTTAGGCTTCAATATGTCAAATATTTAACATTGAAAAGAGACAGCGTCGGTTGTTCTGTGTATTATTTTGCACATCTCAGTGGTGTGGGTAAAAGAGTGTTTTCTTTCCTTTTCAGAACATGCCCTCGATAAGTAGCGACCGGGTCGCTCTGTGTGCTGGGTGCGGAGGCAAGATTTCGGACCGTTATTACCTGCTAGCTGTGGACAAACAATGGCACATGCGCTGTTTGAAATGCTGTGAATGTAAACTCAACCTGGAATCCGAGCTCACCTGTTTTAGCAAAGACGGCAGCATTTACTGCAAAGAGGATTATTATAGGTAAAGTTAATTTCGAAATCCTATTATTTGAGATGACTTCACACTCGACTACAGTGCCGACTTGGAAAGCTAAGAATTGGAAACACAGGCGGTCGAAGCCGAGGAGATATTGGAAAGCAACCCAAAATGTAAACCTGATTCATTGATTTGTTCGTGTTTAGGGACGTTAAGAGAGATTTTTGGTAACGGAGATGATCCTATGTCATTACACAGGGGGGAAAAAACATAACTCATTGGGGAGCATTGATATGGGAAGGTAACTGTAACAAGATAATAAAAACAAAAACAAATTTCGTTTGCGATAATTGTCAGAAGGACTACAAAACCTGCCATTTAATGAAATGCACGTGTCTGATAGATGGAAGATATTTTTTTAGCCTCGTCTATCTAAATATTGTCTGTATTAAAGTGAGCTTCGAAGCGAAACCTTTTTGGCAGAGGTTGAGATCACCAGGAAACTGTTATTGTTAGAAATGTGGTAAGTGTGCAGGACATCTGATGTCGCCCTGACACCACGAACTCTGGGTAAACTGCTCGGGAGGTTCGGAACAAGTGAACACAGACGTGGGCAGTAGTTTCGTGGTGTCTGGGGGAAGGGTCTGTGCTTTGAATACAGACTTATCCAAACACACTCTGCCTCTCCAAAATGCCAAATTCGTGCAATTTTATGAGTGTTGCTGACACGCAGTCCTTTCTTACACAGGAGGTTTTCGGTGCAAAGGTGTGCCCGGTGCCACCTGGGGATTTCCGCCTCAGAAATGGTGATGAGGGCACGGGATTTGGTGTACCACCTGAACTGCTTCACCTGCACGACTTGCAACAAAATGCTGACCACCGGCGACCACTTTGGCATGAAGGACAACCTGGTCTACTGCCGGCTCCACTTTGAGACACTCATTCAGGGGGAATACCAGGCTCATTTCAATCACACGGATGTAGCTTCGAATAAAGGTGGGGGACTCGGATCAGGGACGGGCAATTCGCTTGGACTGCCCTATTACAACGGCGTGGGTACCGTCCAAAAAGGCCGGCCTAGGAAGAGAAAAAGTCCCGGACCTGGCTCAGATCTAGCCGCTTACAACGCAGGTAGGACACGTTATTGTTTTCTTTTCGGGAGCTTTTTTTTTTAATATACTCGATTTAAGGGAATATGTTTTCTTACAGAATAGCTGAAACTGGACAGCTGAACGAAGTTAAAAACAGGTGGCCAGGGTTCTTGACTTCCAAAGTGCGTAAAGGTGACAAGTCAGTTTAGTGGTAAACATCCTGGCGCGCCAATACAACCCTATTCGAGCCTAATGTTGCCTTTCACATATTTGAAAACTATTCGGGAATGGCTGTCCGGCACAATAATGCATTGCTTTAATATAATTGGATATAATCTTGCGTGCCTTGGTTTTATTTGAACGCGACGTTTTAGAGAACTTAGCGGGCCACCTGTGACTTAGGATAATAACGACATCTTTGAGTTCTGCCGCAAACAGGCAAACACTTCGCAGCAGAATAAAAGTGGTAAATTAAACAAATACGCGTACTGACGTTTTAAACAATCTAGCACATTTCAAAAGAGCCGTTTTTGCTCACAAGAGGTGGGGAATGTTCATTAATATAAAATATCCCTTTAGCAGGAAAGGAATATTGAGCAAAGTTTCTGTTCAAATGTAAAATGAACAGCGATAAAGTGAACATTTATGGCATTAGTGGCCAACATAAATCTATAGAAAAAGCGGTGAGCAGAGATATAGATTTATTTTCCTTTTGACAAAAAATAACAGTAGGTCAGGAATATTGGTGTTTCCAGTTTCTTTTTGTTTTCCATTGGCTGGCCGTTTTCTAGACGTTTATGGATTACAACTATACTGCATCGTGAAACGCCCATTTTAATAAAAAAAAACACTCTTTTACAGCAGCTCAGATTAAGAGGCGCTACACTTTCTGCAGCTCGGATTTTCAACATGCGACTCGAGGCTTAATTTGAGTAGCAGGAGCCTGGGGGAGAAAATAAGTAGGCAGTAAAGTATGATCACAGAGGCCGTTGTATATATGAATAAAGCTCCTGAAAATATCCCTAAAGATAAACTGTTATTTTGTTTTCCACCGAGAGAAGGAAATCTGTATATCGATAAAGGAGGAGTTGGGTTTGATGCAGTTGTGTGTGGAGATGTGCCACAGTGGATTATGTGATTGCTAATCAGTACACTATGTTCTATTTTGTACGGAAAGCTCATTAAGCGTTTTTATGACACACGTTCATAGTCCGTATTAAAATTGTATTCAATGCAAACAAAACCGCATGATTCAAAGAGAGAAAGAAGTCTTATTTAAAATTAAACCTGGAGTTTTAAACAACGAATATTTACTTACTTTCGTTTGCTAGACTCCCACTCAGATATTATTTTCCAATAACAAAACTTGAATTTTGCGGAAAAATCTTTAAGCCTTTTCATTGCAGTTTTCTAAAGCTCTTCACAACCAAATGTCATTAATTTTTTCATCACACGTTCGTTAGCTAAAACCAAAGTACAATATTGAGTGTCTGGCGGCCAGGCCTTGTGAGAAACATTTTGTTTAAGTTTACCAGTGATTCGTAATAGTAAATGCACTTTCCTTATTCCGCAGAAAAGGAATATCCGGTCAAAAGTCTTGTTAGGGTCTGCTGTATTCTGAGCGAAATTGTGATGCGTCCTGTAATTATTTCATATCTAATCGGTTATTAAATACGGCAGTGTGCATATTGCGGACTCGTGCTAAATATTGTGTCATATTCAGTGTAAGACTGGAAAACAGTATAACCGTACCGTTTTTTAACTTATTGAATGTTGTAAAATTCTGCCTCTGTTAAAATTACAGTATTGTATATCAGAACTGAAAAGAAAATAAACCAATTCGAATTAGATACTTTAACTTGCATTGCATATTACGATGGAAATAATCACTATGTAAATAATTCGAATGTTCTAATTACATTTTGGGGTAATTATCTGAAAGGCTAAGGATTTCCCTTTAAAATGATTGGCTTCGTCTTTCAGACAGAAAGTTGCCTCATTTCAAATGCGGCTCACAGCTAATTTTACCCGTGCTTCTGAATTCAACACCGTAAGAAATACAGCGAGAAAGCGTTCGGTGGACCTCATTGTGCTACTGAAATGTTAAATAATTAAAAAAAAACATCCCTTCTCATTAGTAAGGAAATATCCAAATACGATATAATCTCGATAGTTTGAAATCGTGTAATTCTAAAAAAAAAAAGCACTGAAGAAATAAAGATAAACAGTAGCGATCACTAAAATATTTGAAACCATTACGTCGCTTAAGAATATCTCCATGTATTTTATTTCTCATGAATAGGGGTAGAAGCCCTACACGACTCACCTGAGAGGAGGGCTGGGTTGTAGGGGTGGGGCAAAGGTGGTGTACTGCTTGACTTTAGCGGCCTTCTTGCCGAGATGCTTCGCTGGTCCGAAAACCCAGTTTAATTCATCAAAAAGGGACACACGGAGCACCTAAAGTAGAAAATTCGAGCTCAAATAATTAGCGCTGCACAGAGTCCCCACCCCCCAAAAAAAAGAATTTCGCGTAGTTTGGTGTCTTTCCTTATGACCGCAAAATAGAGAGCAAAATAAGACAAGAATGTGACGTACTAAGTTTACTGTCTGCTTCACAAGAAATGTTTCACACAGAAACTATTGTTTTAGCATCATTTAACGTTGAGCAGCGTTTAACCGAACACGCCCGTGAGGCCTGTATTATGTGTAGCTTTGTTAAGAAAATGGTAATACGGTAAAGTCCATTGCTAATACGCTTCCATTCGTGTTTTTGTAAGCACGTTGCGTCGCTTTGTTCGTTACAAAACATTTTTGGAAAGGCAACTTTCTGAAATTAAAACGTGTCAAATGGATGTCTGGAACCGGTGCTCTCATTTATTCTGAATGATAGAGTGGGGTCTGGTTAAGTCTTTCCCCTTTTCGCCAATGGCCAGACGGAACTTTCCCCGTCACCAATATTTCAGAGATTCTGGAGAACTGTAGAGGACTGTTACAAAATGGCAATCCGGAACATGCTACGACCCCCTTCCTCCTCCATAGTTTCAACTCAGATAGGCCCATTCTTGGCCACGCAAGTCCCAGTGTGTCAGGGGAGGCGATCTGGAGAATTTTAGACGAGGATGGAGGCTGACAAGTGGAAAATGGCTCAGATGGAAGCCGGAACTTCAAAAAGACTTCTTTTTTTTTTTTTTAAAAAAAGAGGGCTCCTGTGATCATAATTTCTTTTTCACTTGTTGAATTGCAGTTTGATGGGTTTTTTAGGTCAGTAAATCAATGTCGGGAAGCTTGTTGAACACACGAGCACCTGTACAGAATCCTGAATAAAATACTCCCTCAGAGAATTCGAGAGAAAACCTCCCACAGTCAAGAATATTTTATCCTCTCCCATATGAAGGATTTCGAGATAGCAGCCGTATTATAACGGGCAAGCAGTCGGGGAACTAACGTAGCTACAGAATGTTCATAAAAGAAAGAAAAAAAACGTCCTGAAAACGTTTAGCTTTGATTTCAACTTAGCCTTTAAGGATGTCTTTAGTGCATATCTATAAAACACTATATTGTGCAAATTGTAATAAACATAGACCATGACATTAAATGATAATAAACATAGGCCTATAGCGCCAAAACATTACAAAACGTTAAGCAAACGAGGGCTATTCAGTAGTAAGAATTGCGTTTAGCAGAAACTGAGGCTGGCTTCGTGTACACTCCATTATCACATTATATGATGGTATTGAAGGCAATTCAAATAACAGAAACGACCTTTTGGCACATTGGCTACATGAATGAGTTCTTCAAGCAAAGCAAAAACAAGGAAAGGTCGCAAGTCTGAGTTTGAAAGTCACTTGCAAATTGCAAAGGTAAAAGCTGACGATCAGCGATTACTTTTTTATTTATTTAAGATAAAATAACATATACCATATGTACATATATACAATATATTGTATTTAAATCATATTTAAATACAATAATACATCTAAAGAGGACACCAATTAATATTTCCTTTACTATCAAAGCAGCTTTGCTTTTTAAATGAGGAAAGGCTTTGTTTTAAAAAACACTTTATTAATATATTGGCCTGTTTACTTAGGTGCGAAGCTCCTAGTTGTTAAATATAAACATTATACTTTTAAATGAATAACCCAACTCTTCATTGTTTATTAACTTAAGGAATAAGCCATCTCAGCTACAGTATAATATTATTAAAAATACGCATAGCTATGTTAATTACTGGATAACTGGATGATAACTACAAGTCTCTTGTCAATAAGATCGTTAGTTTGAAACGTTTTGTTATACCGTGCCTGCCTTTAAACCCAGCTGAATACATTTACTTGAAAAGAACAAATACAGATCAAAGTGCTTCTTGCACCTCCATTAGAAAATTAACAGCGAGCGTTTGCTTACTTCTGCATCATTATGTAGTAACTAGCCTTGATGCTAAACACTCAGTAATTGACCAGGCCTATAATTACTGTAGGTATGAGGAAGGCTTGATTTAACTCGCTGTTGCAAGCCGTGTTTTTAGATTTTTTTAACAGTTCGAGCAAATAGGTGCTAGATTTGCCACCACATTAACGAGACTGGCTTCTCTTAACCGAAGTCTTTCAGAAAAAGACAAAGTAAAGGACAGAGGTTGAAACTATTTACATGCTTTGGAGCTCTGCTGTCCCCTTGAGGTACAGATCAGTATGGCATTCTATAGAAAGACATTCGAAGAGCTCAACAGCTCCAGGAGGTACGTCACTGGCTACTCCTAGATGGAAAAAAAAACAGGAATATACTTTGTGTAATCTGTGTAATCGAATTTAAGGTCTTTATTGCGTACTTTTAGCTGCTCTCTCATCAAATGACCTACTTCTTTGCAGACTTACATCTTTCCGTGAGACGATGAACTGCATTAAGTTTTTTTTTTCTTGGTAGTTCGAAAGAAGTATCTCTCCGTGAAACTGTGAGCTGGATAAATTATCACGAAAAAGATTTGGCTTGCTTAACAACAACAACAACAACAACAACAACAACAACAACAACAACAACAACAACAACAACAAATTAAAGAACAATGTAAATTTACTTTTCCATCTTCAAATGCTCAACAACTTTTCTGGCAGAAGATATTCTCTTATCTCTCCTGTGGATCCGCTAAATGCTCCATCGCTCAATCCACCTGCCCAGATATGTTTTCCACGGGTTTTCAGTGGATACTCTAGGAAGACTGTCATTAAAAAAATGTGTGTGATGTCAATACACATTATTACACACAAAACTTCCATTTGCTATTAAATACCTCGTTATTAGTCTACCTAAACCGCTCATCATTACACCATGATTATGTTAAGTCAATGATAACAGTAATAAAGCGTGCCACAGATTAATGCGATCCTAAATTGTATATTAGAGATTTGGTTATGTCCTTTGCCAGATTAAACGCTTTTCTTTTTAGTCGCGAAAGGGTGTATTTATGTACAGTATGTGGACACGCATATGACACGGAATTATGTTTTAAGAAGAGTTTATTTGCTGAAAATGTTTTTGGTATATTCGATTAATAATAGAGAAAATCCAGATTTTCTGTGGTTCTTTATGTGGGACATTGAATTTATTTAGTTTAATCTTCTGCTGTGTCCGTTGCAGTGTTTAATTTATAATCTTAAATGTTTAAATCGCGACAGTTTTCAGGCTGCCGAAGGTGAAAACTAGTAAGATTTCGCAATGTAATACTTAGTGAACTAAAACTGAAGTATGGTTCACAAATTAAGAAAGCAAACGTTTCCTAATAAGCCATAAACATTACATAAGAAAATTTCCTGCGGTACTTTAAAAATCGTTTAATTAGAATTCTGCTTATGAGGGGCTTAGGCTTATTAATATACTGGAACGTGTAAAAGTAAAAACTATTCCAACCACCTACATACAGTAAAACATCATATCTTTATTATTAAAAATAGCACTCATTACAACCGAAATATCTGGTATTAACAACACGGATTGGATTTGGTCATTTTCAATGAATGTATTGCTCTTTCATTTCGTAACGACTAATTCTTGAGAAATCGAAGTTGTAAAATGCGTTGCTTTATAAAGAACAGGAACAGAAAGAAGCAACGTCAGAAATCGGGTAATATTTAAATATCTTAAATTGTGCCCAGTTTCTAGCAATGCTAAATAAATCATTATGTTTAATAAAATGAGTTTAAAAATAATTCGAACGGGGGCAGAAGTGCAAACTAAACAAAACCATGACTAGTGTAGTAACATTAAAAGCTGCATTGAAAATCAAATTATCACCACTTCATAAACATTGCACTATTGCGCTCCATTTCTTACGAAGTAAAACTGCTATAAACTGAAAAGAAGCATTTTCCCATAACATTTGTCTTCTATGGGCAGTCAACAGAGAATCCTATTGTTTTTAACCTTAAATGTTAAGATGCTCTGACTGTCAGCCCTTCCAGTCCTGATAATGTCTTATTGTACTGTATGTCGGTGGCAGACAGTGCTGGTTGTCAACAATCCATAATCCAGTATATATTACAGGTATCTTGAAATTATCAATGAGTAAATATGTATGTGTGTTTTTTTTTACCAGGCGAAGTATTAGTTACTTGATAGAGATGGGAATTGGAGGACAGGAATTGCTCTCCTCGCTTTGTAACTCCTGCTTTAGAAGTTTCTGAGGAAGCACTAGGCTTCAAGATACCGTGTCTTTTCAAGTTTCACTTTTTAAAATGCACACCGGCAAAATTAATTCTATCCAGCTCAACGTGTACCCTAATGGTAATACGTGTTCTCTTAGAGATTTTGAGTAGCGTCATGTTTAATCAAAAGCAGGTTTTTAACCTCACGATCAATTGGCATCTTATGTTTGACAAGCTAGATTGGTCCAATGGGCAGTAGTGATGGGCATCTTTACTTTTAAATACAGGATATTAACAAAACAAAAAATACATTTTTCACTGATGTTTATACGCCCTAAAACATATCCGAAAGTACTTTTATATATGCTTTTGTTATGGTATTCGTGCATTTTACTGGAATAGTGGATTTTTGTGCTAGGATTGATAATAGAAAGCATTAACAGTCTTTGTTTTTAGAATTGAAGGAGCTAACATTTTTATGAGCGGTGTCATAATCTCTGCATAATCTGAATTAAAGAAACAAAGTAGTTAAAGGCTGTATCAGCCTTTGAGACAAATTAAATAATAATGATTGTCCTCCATACTTATGAATATGTGCATTTTACAGGTACAAAATCATGAACTGAAATTCTGTAACCAGTTTCACAGACAAGACTACTATTTCGCTTATGTAATTTATAACAGAATTCTTCTGACAAAGAACATATGAACCTAGAAATTGGTCAAAAGCTATCATGCGATGATGAGATATCATTGCACTTTGATGAGTTTTAAAAATCATGCTTTCAGCAACACAAGTATTGGCAATAGCCTATGATAATATACACCCTGGAGTATGTAACAATGCAATGGCTATGAAGGCAATTTACCAAAAATACAAGGTGTTTACTTACAAGGTAATTTTAATGAAAATGTACAGTTCTGAATCAGAGGAACTATATACAAGATTAATAAGTAAGAGAAACTGATTAATCCTATAACGTAGTAAAGATAGACTTTTCAAATTGGAATAAAGAATGCGGTTCTGCACCTTGGACAGAATTGGATTATTATGGGTGTGCCTTTGCACAGCCCAGTGACATGAGGAGGAAGAAAGTCTTTGCCTTTACGTAGTGGATTGTTTTCCATTCGACTTTTCTTTTTCATCTCATGTATGTACATTTCCCGGGTCACACGTAGGCATGTTGATTTATATCGTCACTGTAGTCATCAAAGTACACTACATGTGAACTTTCTCAATCAAATATTCTTTAAAAACGTAAATTGCTCATGTTAGTTGTGGGATCCAAGTAATAACATTAATTTTTGTTAACTCCTCTGCATTGTGATGAGTATGTGCAACGCAAACGCTACTCTTCAGTGACTAGCAACACATGGGGTTTGGGAATTTTGGAAAATCTGCCTTTGGAATTAATCCAATATTATGGAGTTTCTTCAAAGCTAATATCAGATATAAATGTTGTCTATGGCTCCAGTAATGAGCTGTTACTCATTAGATATATTATTAGATTGAATTACTTGTTATGGAGAACTAAACGAAACATGAAGAGAACAGATTTAAGAAAAACAGGCCCAAAACAAACACATTTTCAGTTTTTTTTTAACATTCCTAAGGCTTCCATATCAATCCAAGGCACTCTATCCTTGCAGCATAACTTCTCAGTTTACAGTATTCATTGGAGGGGTTCAGATATGGGAAAATGAACACACCACGGTTGGCCTTTCTGGGTTATACTGCAGTGGAGGTGGATTTCTGACAGCAAAATAAAATAAAAACACTGCAAAATGCACTGCAGGAAAACAGTTTTTGGTTAAAATATATAGGGATTTTAAAAGAATCTGAAACAACAAAATTGTGGCCCTGTCTTTTTAGTTGCATACGTGAAGGCTCTGCTTGTGCTCCTGAGGCAAAAATACGACATGAATCAATGAAAATCTGTTCTAGCATACTTATACTGTGTGTTCACTAATACAAGCCATAGTTTGGATGTTTCTACCTTTGATTTTAACCCAATCCGATCTATTAGGCAAATGAGAAACACAAGAGAATGGTTATGTGCATTACTGAAAAGCTTTGTTGAAATAAAATTCATAAAAAATCATCTTTAAGCTACAGTGTTTAGTGCAGTAGTTTGCCCTAACAATGTAGGCGATTCTTAAATCAATTAAATAGTAAAAACAGGAGAGTGGAAATAGACCAGCAACGTGATACTCACAGTTCTGAAAGGACAAATGATTACCATATCGCATAGGATTTGGAACATTAAAGTTTAACCAAATCAAACCAAATATACATTTTGTAACTCCCAGGCATCATTGAGTTTTGAGTGATATAAGGGTAATAAAATGTCATTTTTAAAAAATCATTAGATGAAGAAATGCTATTGACCCCCCCCCATAGTTCAAGTTAAGAATTTCTAATGTTAGCCCTCAAGAGCAATGACGTCTTCAAGTTTTCATTCAAGTCATGCTCCCATTTAACTAATCGAAGCAATTATCATCTGAGCTATTCATCATTAATATGATTTTTAACCACTGATTGAAGACATGCATAAACCCTGAAGGATTAGGCCTGTCCAGTCTAATCCTGTTGCAGTGGACAACAAGATTAGAATCACTGCTCTGCTTGGACTTTTTGCATTCAGCATTAGGACCTGAGAATGAGTTGTTGACCTGCAACACTCTTTATGTTGACTTCCTAGCTCTGAGCTGTAACGAGAACGATGGCGATCACTTGGACCGCGACACACAGTACACCTCAAACCAGAAGACGAAGCGGATGAGGACTTCCTTTAAACATCACCAGCTGAGGACCATGAAATCTTACTTTGCCATTAATCACAACCCCGACGCAAAGGACTTAAAGCAGCTAGCACAAAAAACAGGCCTTACGAAACGAGTTCTACAGGTGAGACCTTAATGTTCAAGCTTCAGGTGTTCTCATTGGGTGTCTGAGTTCTAACGGATGTTTTATTGCAACAGCATCACATGGTCAGGGTCGATCATTATCAATGGCTATTTACAGGTCAGGATATTGATTCACAGAGCAAATGTGTTCACTTGATTGATTTTCAAAAGTTGGTTAAAACTGCGTTAAACGCATTTTGAGTAAATTCACCTATTCACCTTGTGGTTTTACAAATTCTGATTGACAGCATTTCATCCCGCCTTCCTTTTTTATACCTGTATGACTTGATTGTCAGAGATTCTGACTCCCTCTTCTAACGGCGATGACATTACCATTAGTAAAATTACCAACTTTATATAACAGTGTAAATACATTTAAATTGGCAGCCTTGATTATTCTGCTTGTTGTTAAACACGTCTGTTAGCATTCACCCAAATTACCAGGGCTCTGCTGTGTCTTTCGAAGGTAGTTTAAAGTGATATCACTGGAGGCGCTTCAAAATAAAACATGCAAACAGACAACACTTAGGATTTAATTACATAGTAAAGTGTGTACGTGGTATTTATGTATATTATGATTGAGAAAAAGTTTACATTAATGAAAGATTTTTTTGACAGTTTGTTAGATGGATAATTTAATTTAATCTTTGAAAGTGTTAGAGAGACGAATCTGTTTTTTTCATTTCCAAATTACGCTGTTAGATTATCAGGGGCTTGAGGAATCTGGAATCCCGAAGATTTTCTGTCTCTTTAGCAAATTAGTCTTTTTGTCAATAGCCAAAGGCTGTGGAGAAGGGAGAAATAGGTCTGGTTAAACCTTATTTGGATCATTTTAAACACTTCTCCCAGGTGACGAGCTTAAAGACATAGAAAACCTGCTGGATTCCTGGACCATGAGACCCAGAGACCCAGAGATGAAACCTCTGGGGCAGCCAGTTCAGACAGAATTTAATATTGGCTGTTTTTCACTAGTGCCTTTTTCAAAAAATCACGAGTAATAAATTAAGACGTGGAGAAGATGGGTAAGAGCAACTTATGAAATGAATTCCAGCTTTGCCATCCTACGGCACATTTTTATTTCTAATATGTAAAAAATGGATGACAAGTGTAAAATCCTGTCCCCTGATACACCGATTTTGCATGGAGACATCCTTTGAAACTGAGAATCGCTCTGAAAGGTTAATCACCTTAATTGCTCACTCAGTTTAAATTAATGCCAAAAATGATATTAGGATTATGCATCCACATCCATTCACATGCTTTACGTCCCCGAATTGGATCTGGAAATCCAGCAAAGTTTCCACACGGAACGGCACACTGAATTAAAGCTTGAAAATGAAACAAACAAACAAACAAACAAACAAACAAACAAATCAATGCAATCGCTGTGCTGCTGGTTCGCTGTATTTCAAATGTGCTTCTTTGTTTCTCCCAGTTCGCTAACAGTTGGAACAATATCACATTGAATTGGTTTACAGGTTTGGTTTCAAAACGCCCGCGCCAAATTCCGACGGAACCTTTTACGACAGGAAAACACGGGGGTTGACAAGGCGTCGGACGGCTCGACGCTGCAGGGAGGGACCCCCTCTGGGCCGGCATCCGAAATCTCCAACGCATCCCTGAGCCCCTCCAGCACCCCCACCACCTTAACGGATCTAACGAATCCGACAATGCCTACTGTGACATCGGTTTTGACATCAGTGCCTGGAAGTCTAGAAGTCCACGAGTCCAGAAGCCCCTCGCAAACAACCCTCACGAGTCTTTTCTGATGTCTTGTCTATTTGCAATTCCTATGGAAATATTAAAGAAAAAGAAACAATCCCTAGTTTTATTCCGAGCCTATTTTAGAAATCTTTGTATGAGTGGCAAACAGCCTTACTGTTTGGTTTTGAGAACTGAAGCAACTCATTTGTTTCCCGCGTGTTTACAGACTGAAGAAGACTGAACTGCTCGATCTTGGATATCTATTTTCCAACACAACATTTGTGTAACTGTACAGTTTTGTGGACTGAGTAAGGGAACCAACCATTAAAGGATTATAATGATGACAATAAAGAGCTGGCAAAATAACAATGTAAACCTAAAGACTGTCATGTGCCTTATAAATCATTTTTGCAGTATGCTTTGAATACTCATACACACTTTCCTTCGGATAATGTTAAAAATAAGATATTATTTCTTTTGAATTCCCCGAAGCGTAAGATTAAGCTTTTTCTTAGACTAGAGACTTCATGTTTGGAGGCCTGCCTGTGTCTGTATGTGTACATTCTTGTCATCCATGGATAAATACTCACACACACTATTTACAAGGATAATTAGTACATAGACGGACTGCAAGATTAAAGGACATCTGGTCACTTAGAACATAAATAATAAATAATTATACTTAAGGTTAATTACATAATACTTATTAATATGTCTGTGTCAAGCACCACACTATCAATCTGCTGATATTATGCAACTTGATGTCCAACAGGGATGCTCAAACCATTAATATTTTAATACAAAGAACGGCACACCAAATATATTCTCTATAAGAAAAATCTGTGGCTCAGATAGAGCAGCATATTGTAAAGTAAGTGTAGTAAAGATTTTCTCTCTTCCTTCCTTTAACCTTGGGGCTGAGCAAAAGCAGGTATTATAGGTATATTTAAAACAGGTTAACAAAACTTAATATTCACCTTAAATTCTTATCATATTCACTGATATCCGAAGAATTTTACATACTATAAATAAGAACTACAGGTGTAGACGGAGATTAAGGCTAGTGACTTACAGATACAAAGTAGAGTGAACCTTGAGACTTAAGTGCTAAAATCAGACATTTTGTAAATGGTTGTTTGTCAGAATACCAATATAGGAAAAAACGGACACATCTTTATTTAAAAAAACAAAGTGTGCAATGTGTAAGTTATATATATAAATGCCATATTTTGACCATCAGAAACTGTGTACAAATATATTGAGTAAGGCCCCAAAGTTCTGGAACTGTTAAAGATAAAGATTACGTAAATTCGGGGAAGCACAGCTCTCAGATCCAATAATAGCTATGCGTTTGTACTTGTGCGTGTATGTTTGGTTGTATGTTTGTTCACATTCACACACAAAATGACTTTTGTAATCTCACGAAACAAACACGTACATAAAAAACAAAATCAAGAAACAACTAAGTACAATTTGCCATGTAAGAATACATTTGATCATCCATTACTCTTAAAAATCAAAGCCATTAGTTAACCTCTTAGGGTGCCACTAAAAACAAAACAGCCTGACTATTATACAAACTAGAAGTTACAATCTCTATTTAATTAAAAACAAGATTCTGCTTTGTTACGTTTGTTGTTTAATAATAATAAAAAAAAACACTTTCTGTTTCAATACAGCCACTAACACTTGGAATTGTTAGGCTGTTTAATTTGGTTACAGAGAACCTCTACCTTAATTCAAGCAGGGGCATTTTACATCATGCAGACACCGAAATTGAAAATATTGGTCCACTGGTCAGAAGTCATGATACTAAGAGGGACTTTTCTAAAGCCTTCAAGCTTTAAAAAGTGTAGTAAATGGAATTGAATGGACAAAAGGCATGTGACAATTTGCCTGTTTCCTTAGCTGGTCGATAAATAAACAAACTAGATTTTCCTTAACTGCTGATGTTTTATGTAGACATTTGCACCAGTTCCATTTAATTTGAGGTTACTGACTTATTCCTAAAGAAAACGAGTCATCATATTCCTTGGTAACTTTATTGACATTTGCTAAAAAATTAATAACCTCTTCATGATGACAATACCTCAGTAACAAATACCTGAATTAATCTACATACTCAGTTCTGCTCTTTTGTAGTGTTGTCACATTATATTCTAGGGAAGCAACATAACAGAATATTTTCTGTCTCTGCAAAATAAAGGAACGCACACAGTCGTTATTTTTAAAAGAATAGAAAAAAGACACATACTAAACATTTTCATGGCTGTTATAGAATATAGTGTTGTGTTGCATGGAAGTGTTCAGATTATCCATTAATTAATTTCTCCTTGAGCATTGAAGTGTTTTTGATAGAAGCAACTGTCAGACACATAACTGGAAATGGGAATCTTTTATTATTATATTAGAATATCATTATTCACATTACACACACACAACCTGTCGCTTTGTCCAACAGATTACCTCAGTCCAAGAGGCACTATACACTGTTATTTGTTGAATTACAAAACTTGATTTACTTATATTTAAAGAGGACATGCCTTGGAAGACTTCATACAATAATTTACTGCACTGAAATACAGGTATAAAAAAAGTCTACAGAATAACTTCCTATTCCTTTTGCTCAATTGTAAAACTTTCGTCCATATAAAGGATTATGTTTTGTTCACTTAGGTTTTTACGTTTAAATGTTTGCGATTGCCTTGCTGTTTTTTCCTTTGGTGGCAGAAACGTGGAAAAACAGGCTGACAGTGATCTCAAACAGATCTATAAGGAGTCTTTGTAGACAACTAATATTAAACACACAGCAGTAGGCAAGTAGTCCAATATCCGAGTGAAAGCAATGTGTGTGTAAATTGGGAATACCCATATAAATTTGTCCACAACAGTCAATATTTCCTTTTAAGGTTCTGTGGTAATGTCCTGCATTACATGAAAGACATAAAGGAGGATCTTAAAGCATCTTTTATTTCGTATGAAAAATCAGGGATTTTTACTTAGAAAAAAAAACATTATAAGACAAGAGTTTATAAAGGGGCAACAGGATTTCATACTTGTATTTAGTAACCTATGCTGTCCACAGTAATTGTTCTATTGCTGTGCTGTTGTCTGGTTGTTTAGAGCTTGCTGGTTTTGAATGCTGTACAATTTTTACTTGGAGGTAATATTGTTTTCCTCACATTCGTGTACAGTTTCACACTTGATGTAAGTAGTCTTCAGTTCTGTTAAAACATAAAAATGAACATTAATATTTCCTTCTGAAGTTTTTTTTTTACTTATTTGTTAAAAACCCAAAGGTAATCTCTGAAAAGCTCAGTCTGTAAAAGGATTTTTTTTTGTCATCCCAAAATGTAGATATGACGTGAAAAAGAAAGAGTCTAACTTAGCTTTAATGTTTAACTGCTATGCCTAAAATGGAGAAAACTGTCCGGATGTCAACATTCAATCAGTGTAATTAATTACAGAATGTCAATTATTTTACTTGCATACCCCTCAAATAAACATAGACCCTTCTCATCAACAATCTAAGGGTCATTTAATAAAAAAGAGAATAGGGAGGGATGTGAAGAACTTGACAATGAATACATTGAAGTGCTGTAAGGGTTTACTTTCCCACTGTTTTACAACAATAAGGAATTAATTCATTCATTTGGTAAGGTCAAACATGTATCCTGATCATTCTTTGTTCTAGTTACTTCATTGTCCCATTTTGTTCTTCAAGTGCTGTATGAATTCATATTGGATGAAACATTTAAATCGGTAATTTAAATGAATGGTAGCCTCATTCCATTTGAAGGGAAAATCCAAGACACTATTGCATCTGCGTTTGGTAGTAGGATGAAGCAGGGGTTTCAATGGATACTTTCCTATGGTTCAATCCAGGATTATATCATACCTGGAATGTGTTACAAGAAGAAGTCTGGGCGTCCTGCACCTTTTCTTGGGTGTAGCATACAGTAGATCTATGGTTTGGGGTGAACTGGGACTGGTGCATGATGGTCTACAGTATGTTCAGTTGGACTAAATTAGGTGCAACCAAGAGCGAGGTGGATTTCTGGTTTGCCAGCCCATACAGGGAATTTTCAGAGCTCAGTTAAAGGCTTCGTCTAATCTAATGAAGGCTCTTAGAGGAAACAGAATTTGACTTAGGCCATGCCTCAGAGATATTATAGAGATAAGCCATGTGAAAATCTCGTACTATTTGATTATCAGGGTGTGTTGTTTAAGGCAGATAGTGAAGTTTAATGATCCACAAAGGATTCATAAAGTCTGTCCTGTTCAGCAGTCCATAGTAATTTTATCATTTTCTAATATACAATACACAGATATTTGCATGTTATATCAAAACAGACAATATCCAGAAATACTGAACTTTGCTTTAGTGAGAACCTTGATTGACTGAAAGTCAAGGTATACTTAACTCATCAAGAACTATCAAAGGATTTTGAGGGGGTGGGGGCATATCAGAAGACATCATCTTATCTTTAAATCCATTGAATAACACTGTGCCATGACAACGATTTATCACAACTCAATATGTATCAACTGGCTTCAGATAAATACAACAGTTTTTAAGCATGACACGCTGTGGAAAAGCATCGCAAAGAAGAACAAATAGTTGAGTACAATGATGTAACGTCACTCCAGGAAAACACAGCTACACAATCAGAGCCAAACACCAAACAGCATCTACCACGATTGGTACCTAGTGGAGAGCCTACTAGAAAAAACCCAGCGGATTATTCAGGAACAGAGTGTCTGACAAATTCAAAATATGCTGAGAGAACTAAGGAGGAGACAGAGAAACAGCAAAAATAGAAGATCTCTTCTTTTGGACAGGTAGGTTATGAGGGTGGCCAGAGCTGTTGTCCATTTCTCCATGCATAAACTCAAGTTGTGAGTGATGAATTGCAGAACATTACCTTGACCAGCATGCTCCTTCCCAGTGCAGAAATGTTGTTACAACAGTGCATCCTGCCTTATACTAATGGTCCCCATTAGCACCAGGGTTAATCTGTTATTGCCACAGAGCTCAAACCTACAGGGTGCACAGAAGATTAATATAGCTGCACCCTTAAATGTCTCAACATGGTAAGTACTTCATTTTCCATGAAAACCACACAACTAGGGATTACACAAACCTGCCGCTGGTCCTTAAAACAAACACAAATTTATCCAAGCTATTCCTTGTGCTTTGTTAAAATGCTTAGGCTTGGATTAAAGCAAGACCACACCACCTACTACTTCTGTTGTTCAGTCAAATTCTGATAATGAGGAAACCAGCTGATGGATATAAAACGACAACACGTCTAACGCTTTCGCTGTTCGGAGATCGGTGCCATCACCCCCCCCCTCACTTAGTGGGTATGAGAGGGTGATGTTAGAGAGGAAAGAAGGGGCTGGATTAAAATTTGACCTTCACCCACACTTCAGGTATTCAAAACCAATTGGTTGATTCAATCAGGCGAACAGAGGAGGCCTTTGACAAACAGAAAGATGTAAGTGAGAGGCACATTGGCATCTGAGAAGAGTCAGTGGGAAGAAGCTTTAATTTAATATGGGTTTAAGCTTCATCATATTTACAGAATATTTACCATATAACACACAGGTTAGAATCAAACACATTTTTGATCACATTTTAGTAATCAACTAGGGCTTCAGCGTGTACAGGCTTCTTCAAGTGAAAAGGTGAGATGAAGTGTTGCAAGCATAATTAAAGCACGGCATAATTACACTAGCGAACAAAGCAGGTGTTTCGTAGTACAAAGTTTTGTGCCATTCTTTGTGTTTTTATATTAGCCCTTGAAGTAGCCCTGCCTTCAAGTGTAGCTCATTGATGCCGAGTGTGCAGGCCAGCCAAAGCATCACTCTCTTATCAGATTAAACCCAGGAGTCAGTAGAGGCCTGAGTCGTGTTCACTGAAAGCCTGGACTGTCAGTATAACAGACATTCCAACATCATGCACTACAAAGACATGAAAAGTTCTTTAAGTGATGCACTGAGAGAAAATGAAGAGAAAGGTGTGAAACATACCAGGCAGTGAACCAAATTAAGGTAACCATAGAGAGATTAGCTCCCTTACAGCTTATAAAAGCAAAAAAAAAAATGTTGAGCCAATGAGACAAATCAGGTGATGTTCCTATGTGAAAAAAACGTAGCTTATGAGCTCCTGTGATCTCTGAACAACATCTATGCTATTTGAGAAAGAATAAGCTTGTGCAGTTAAAAAAAAACTGTTATGAAGACAAATACATTAAAATGTAGAGCAATGAAGACAATTAATACTGTCTTCTGATCTGTTTGGCACTCTTGCATGGATTGTTTGCTGTCTTTTGAAAAATGTTTGACAGATGGGTGTGCTATGTATACAGTCAAACAAGGGTCTGGCAGTATAATATTTCAAACTAATATCAGAATAAGTAAAGCTGGTGATTTATGCAGAGTTAATTAAACAATTTTGAAAGAGGGCTATCACAGTGTCCTGTGATACATTGTGAAATCTGTTTTGTTAGGGAAGTATTCATGCTACAGGGCAGTTGCTGCAAATTCCTTGAACTTGCACATATAGTATGTAGAAAATTATAGTATATGATCTAGACTGATGTGGTTTTAGCATTCCTCTTATTTGAATCATTACATAACTCAAAACTCACTCTATTTGGATTATTAATTTGGTTATACAAGCCTAACATGAAGATTTAAATCCTATATTCCTGTATTAAAACATACTGCAAACCATCACTATCAATTAAGTATCAGTATATTTGTCTTCAGTATAGCTAAATGTTTAATTTTGCATTAATTGCATTAATTAATTTTTTATTCTCCCAGCTGTTAGATTCCATAACCTTGACCTGTAATTTGTATTGTTTAACAGTGCTTGTTCATTCAGTACAATGTTCAGTTACCTCTACGAAAATCTCTTCAAGATGCAAAGCATATATACATGATATATATGAAAAAAAGAAAAGTCCAATTAAGATAAGCTCAATGGCAAACAGTTTCCAATAAATATCCTTTTATAGAAGTTTGAAGTTATGAACAAGATTTCTCCAGGTGTAAAATGCCACACAAAGCTCTGCAAGACGACGTTTATTTAAAGCAAATAAAGTTCAAATAAATTCATGCACATACCCATAAGAATAATAAGCATTACATTAAAAATCTGTATTTTAAAAAGTAGCCCTATATTACTACTAGATTTCTCTAGGATCAAAGTAAATGTCCTTACTTGAACCAGTATGATTTGAAACAGTTTTAAAGTTAGCAAGTTATTAGTAATATGATTTAGTTTACACACATAGAGATTTTTAACACTGTTTTAACTATATACTGTATTTGCATTTCATGTCCGGCTCTGTCTCCCTCTCATTTTACCATATTTAAAATGTGTATAATAGAAGGTTACATGTTAAAAAACAAATCAAGGTCAAAAAAGGCCCTTTAACATTGACTTGCATCTTCTATATGGTAAGCCAGATCTTTTTCAATCTGAAAAATCTCTGTAGGTCCTCATCGTTGAAACATCCAACAGGTAACAAATAACATCAAGCATAAATTGTACCCTTGCGCTGATAGAAGTTCTTTAATCCAAGTTAGTCATCAAGACACATTGCATAGCAAATCCTACAGACTTCACACCTGTAGTTCTAGCCTTTTCTGTAAAAAAAAAACATGTTTTTGAATCACTAGTTATAATTTCTGAAACGATTTATACAGAATCTGTGTTCCCTGGGCTGTTTCTCAATGTTGAAACCACAGTGGTTCTTATAGGATATTGAAACACCCAACTTCACAGAAATCTTTGCTGTGGATTAGAAAAGATTTTAAAAATTCAAAACTTCCTATGTGAGGTAAGCATTATGTTTTTATTTAGCAAAGTTGTACAAATTGACACAACATGGGAAATATATTTTTTTAATATATTTTTTTTTGCTACATATGCAAACATTCTGTTTCCCTATTTTTAATTGCTACAGCTAAGTGAAGGAAGACTGGTGAGTCATTATGAAAACGTAGCTCCTTTCTCTCATAATGTGGTTTTTCATGTTCAGATCCTCCTTTCTTACTCATATAGCACATTCCTGTTGCCTGAGAGCAATGGTATGCATTGAAGAAACATGCCTGCTTGGGTGTCTAACTGTGCCCACAGGACAGTTAGATTCCACTAGTGTTCACAAGTGCCTGATAAAAAAGAGAACCTCCAAGTACCTGGCCAGCCAAGGACATCCTATTCACCTCAAAATCGGGAGTGTTTGACCAACATTGCATTGCTGTTTGAAGAATCCCTTCCACTATGAGCTAATGGCGGGTCCCAAACTTGAACAAGCAGTACCCGAGCTTCGGAGTTCAGCCTTTAAGTGATTCAGTCACTTGAATGCCCCTTTGTTGTGATTTGTTTAATACATGAAGTCACATATTGAGTTGCTAATCAGATGAGATACTGTAATGATGGCGAAAAAAATCAAACAACCTTCTGTCATAGTTTGACCTACATGATTACC